GGAGGTATCCTCTGCGTATTAGGAAGAAACCGGATAGACTCGATTTGTAAAGATGACGAGAGTAGTAGTAGTGATTAAAAATGTTGTGTTATAATAGTTTGTAAAGATGTTGTTCAAGAGTAGTCGAAGTGATTTATGATGTTGTTATGTTGGTTAAAAAAAAATTTAAAAAAATTCATACACACAGATATAGTATACAGTATATGGTAATTATGTTAACTATCATTATAACATTGTGAAGTAGATAACGGTAAAAGAAATAACCAGCATTCACTTTTCCGAATAAGGTTTATTGTAATAACATAATTTGCAATATTAATGCATATTGGTTTGGTAGACTATTTACAGTTTGTTTCAAAGACTTGCAGTACATGCATGTAAAATGTTTAACGGTTTTCATTTAATTTTTGAATTGTTTGTTAAGCTATTGTTGGATAGAGTAATGCGGTTTGGGTCAATAAGTAAAGATGTGTATAAGAGACAGCTATTATTGTAAGAGCGGAGAAAGTTCGAGTTGGTTGTGATGGTTGTTGAATATGGTGGATAATAAAGACAACCGGTTTGGATTACTTAGATGTGGCTTTGTTGTTCATTTGTCTCAGTGAGTGAATGAGAGACATAACAACATATTTTAAATTTTAATCATTAACTGACTTAAGCTTCCCCTCACCTTAAACTCTGAATGTTTTGTAAAAAATGCTTTGAGAATGGTAACAAGATCTATAGCAATTTCGTCCACATTTGTCGTGTAGGCATTGTCATTTGTCACATAACTATACCCGCTTCCTACTGGATTATCAATGAATAAAACGTTGGCGGCTTGCACCTGAAATGATGATAGATGGGATGAACACAATAGGCGAACTCCAAAAGTGAAATTCACGTAAGGAATGCTTAGTGGACAGAAAACAGCTCAGCCACATGGTCAGCGGTGGCTCCAGAAACTTGCTGACGAGGGGTCCGACATGTCCGACAGTGAGGTCCGAACCAAGAGCCTTGATCAGGGTCCCAGAATAAAAATTCCTGGTAGGGTTCATGGGATAGATTTTATGGTTTAGCATGGCCCACAATTGTGCTTTTAGACCTCAATATTAGGGATTGGCAATCAAAATAACATGCAGGAGCTTTTTAGAGACAAGAGGAGGAACTCTCTTGAGCCAAGCCAGCAAACATGACCCATCCCACTGAAATTATGGACATGTCAGAGTACTGAGCTTTGAGAATGTTGTCTAAGCCAAATGTTCTCCATATTATCCTAAGCATTCCCCAGTGAAAGGCAATTATGAGGTTATCGCGATGGGTTACAACCCATCTACCGCCCCCTTAAGCCTATTACAGTACCTTAAAGTCACAATAATAGTACAAGAATTTTTTCAAAACATGAACAAGATCAGTTGTGATTTCTGTCAAGTTAGTAGTGTACGCCGACTCGTCAGTTACGTAGCTGTAACCTGCGCCCACCGGGCTGTCTATAAAGAGCAGATTGGCTGCTGACAACTAACAATAATTACCAGTACAAGAAAAATAGGAGAAAAATATAACATAGTTAAGAATCCTGAATAGTTATGCAATAGTATCTCAATTCCAAATAAAATTTATTCTCTATCAATTGATACATATTGACAAGTTGTGAAAAATCACCTTACACCACCTTAACCCTTTAGCTAGCTAGCATCCCCCACTTTCCCACCTTGGTCCCTGTCAGCTCTAACCCCAACCACAGTATGTCCATACTCTTAAATACACCATTGCCCACTTGAAACATTGTTGGATATATAATAAGTATAGAGCTTACCCAGGTGGAATTCCTTGGATTTAGATTCACATCCAATGGCCCAATCTCTTCAAAATTTCCAAATCCAGTAGAGGAGCCTCCTGGCCCTCCCTAGAGGGATGACAAGACACGTAAAGATGACAATAGAATATCAACAATCAATTGATTATCAATCAATCCATAATAATTAAATGTTGCATATGAAGAAAGTGGGTGGGGGTGGGGAGTGGAGGGACCAATATATATTTTCAATGTTTGAAACTGGCAGTGATCTTAGATATAATAACAAAATGATAAAGTTTTCCCATGCTAGGTCCTATAACGTACCTGTAGCCAAAGTACTAATGGTGCTGATGAGTAGACTGGCTTGATAGTGGAAAAGTAGAGCCACCAAAACATGTGGGCATCAGGGCGAACATTCACGTATCCCCAATCCTGAGCTGGTTCGTCGTCATTTATAGACTTGTGGCTTCTACGCCCTACATACGTAAGAATGAAGCAGACATTGCAATTATTACAGACATTTAACATTCAATGCGTAGAAATTCTGTCGTAGTTCTGCAGTGACTAATAATTGGTACCGTATAATATTTTAATAAATGCCCCAATTTAAATAAACGCCTCCTTCGAATGAACAACCTGAGGCGAGTATTTTTTAATTGAATAAAGGCCCCCTAAATGAATGATAAACAAATTTAATAGAAGCAACATCATTCTTAACACATTCTTATTCTGTGTTGTAGACTCCAAGGTGGTTTGGGTCAATAAGTAACCGCCGTCCGCCGACCGGCGCCAAGAACAGCACGACGTACTTTGAGAACGTCGTCGTCGTGAACGGGAGAAACGTTGCTTTTCTCGATTCCTGACGTGCGCCAGGATTCTGCTGTGCTGCCAAACGAGATCGGGCTTCGCGAGAAGTCCGTTTCGCAGTTCGACGCCGATCATCGACGTCTTCGCAGAATTGCTCTTCGATCGGGAGGGCAGGACCATCGTCGAAAACTCTGCGGACGATAGCGAAGATCAGCAGTCGTCTACGCAACCGCCGCCTCCACCTCGGCCGAGATCACACAACACATTTTGATGCCAATGTGTTGCAGTTCCACATTTACAGTGAAATTAATAATGGGCGTTTATTTGAGTATAGCAAAAAAAAAACGCCTCCCTCAAATAAACACCCCATTCAACAATAAACAGGGCGTCTATTCGAATAAATATTGGATTACAGCAAAGAGGTATATAAAATTAATTATATCCCCTTGATTACAGAATGTGTATCTTATTTTTTTTAAATCATAATGGCCTCTGAGCCAGCCATATGACGATCCATATCCCTTTATAAACTTCAAATCTCCTTTGATGTTTTTATGTTTGTATTGTAAGTATCATTTAATTCAGTCCTCGAGAGCGATTTTGATATTGAATATAATGAACTGAATTGAAATAAAGTTTCGCTCAATGAGTTTTTTTTTTCTTTTTATCATTGTTTACAAAGCGATTTCGTTTCAAAATACGACTTTATCTTCAAACAATAGTAAATACAGAACGCATCACTGAACACACTGTTGTTTGTCTGGTTGAAAAAGCTACGTTAAAATTACATATTCACGACGATGTGTGCGATTACTGTCCTGTGCGAATAATACTGGACTTATACATTCACAATATTACAGTCTTATCTCATAAAAAGCCTCGAGGCCTACCTAGTATATTGTCTGCAAGCTCAGAGAGCTGCATAGATCACCGTACCAAGAACCGAGGAGGATAGGCTTGGTGAGGCCTAGCCATCCTTTCAATGTGTTGTGGAACAGTGTAACCTAGGCCTAATGATTCCATTCATCGTTAATATTAATTAATAATCTTTACCTTCATGAACTGTGAAAGACAGGCAGATGATCAAGCCCACTATAGTCAAAAGAGTTTTTATAATCATCATGACGTGCAAGTTTTTCTTTCGGACCGCGCCGTAGAAGTTGCAGGTACAGCTCTTGTTGTCGTTAATCAGGTGACCGTGACGTGCCTGGCACGAGCTCCAGAGAATCGCTAGTACTGGACAATGATTGGTCAACTAGTTTGATTAGGGTATTCCCCTATACCGAGTCTCTAACTTCTGGCGCATGGAAATCTTGAATCGCCAACATTCCGTAATAAACTAAAAAGTTAGTGCGAGCGTCATCGACTTATCATTCCTAACTAAACACACTTGAAGAATAAATCTACATTTTATTTATTTTTATGAATCCTAGAGTCGAATGCTCTGGAGTTCAAATTCACTTAAAGTAACTGAATACAAGAATAGTTTCAAGAAAAAGCTGAAAGAAATTTGGTCATTGTATAGCATCGTTTTTGTTTTCTGTCCTTTAGATTGTCGTTTTTATTGTTTTTGATATCTGATATTCACATATCTCATTGGCTATAATTATTCTAGTTAAAAAGTGTATTTTTCACTTTTAGATTTTGAATGCGTTATGGACTCCATTGGAAATCAAGAAATAAAGGTAGACCTATATTGAATATCAAATGAAGTCAATCAATCAATCAATCAATAAACCAGCCACTTTATAATTGTGTCTCAACAACCTTGTGCCTAGCGTACTTTGGAGGTCTGAGGTACCAGTGTTTGTGCGTAAACTCTCTTTAACTAATGTTTACGCTAAATCTTGTACATCTAAAATTAGACAACATTCTACTATACTCTATATAGGACCCAAACTATGGAAT